GAAGAGGGAGGGAGGAGCAGGTGAGGAAAGAGAGGAGGAGGAGGAGGAGGAGGAGGAGGAGGGGAAGGGAGCAAATGGTAGTTCAGCGGTGTAGCTCTGATCTACATGTTTCAGGTGGTCATCCTCTTCTTCTGCTGCTTCCTCTCCGCTGCTTCGATGACTCCTGATGTCACCTTGTACCTCATCCGCCATGGCGAGAGCCGCCAGAACGTCGCCATCCGCAACTTCGACATCGGGGCCATGTTCCGCGAGCAAGGTGAGCTGAGGGGTTGAGTTGGTTCGAGCGAGGAGGTGAGGCGCATGGCAGATCACGGGCTGAGCCTGCGGGGAGCAGAGCAGTGTGTCCACCTGGCCTCCAGGTTGGAGTCGATGATGAGAAACGCGCGCGACCGGGAGGAGGAGTGCAAGACGGATGCCAAGAGGCTGAGCGACCCGACCACGAGGATTTTCAGCTCCTCCCTCACAAGAGCCGTCGAGACCTCAATCCTGGCGCTGACGCCATTGCCTGGAATCCGTCATGGTGAGGAAGGGAGAGGAGCGAGGGGAGGGGGAGGAAGGGAGGGAGGGGAAGGCAAAATGTTCTTTCTGCACGCTCTCAACCAGCTTACAGGAGTACAACTTATGCCGGATGCTCGAGAGAGGGCGTCATGCGTGCCAGGCTTGTCCTACGACTGCGTCGCTCTTCCTCGGGGTCAAGTCGCCTCGCGAGCTCTAGCAGAGCTGGAGAATCTGTCAGCAGAAGAGGAGCTGCCGAAGCACGTGACACACGCCTGCAAAGAGGCGTGTCAAGCTCTCGCGGATGGATCGATTCAGCTCGACGTCAGCAGAGTCCCAGCTGCCTCTTCCCGATGGATCTCGTCCATTGAGGTTGACAGCTCAGTCGACGAACGCATCGAGAGACTCGTGAGGGACTTGCGAGAGCAGGTAGAGATTTTCTGAACTCCTCCCTCACCTCCTCTCCCTCACCTCCTCCTCCTCCCTCACTGCCTCCTCCTCCTCCTCCTCTTCTTCTTCCTCCTCCGTCCCTCACTTCTTCCTCTTCTTCCTCCTTCACCACCACCACTCCCTCCCTCCCTCACCTCTCCTCCCTCGCTACCCGTCTCTCCTCCCTCATTTCCTCCTCCTTTCCTTCCTCCCAGCCTCTGCTTCCCTCCTCTTGTAACGTCTTGGCCAGGCAAGAAGCTCTGACTCTCGTGCGGCTGTCTGCGTGGGTCATTCCATGCTCTTCCTGCGGCTGTTCAAGCGCCACTGGGCGAAGGCGGCGAAGCTTCACCGAGGCGCCTCCGCTGATTTCTTCCGCTCGCCTCTGGGACGCACACTACAGACTCACGCCCTCGCCAACTGCGCCATCATCGCCGTCGACCTCGACAAGGACGGGCGGGTGGTGCATGCGAGGCTGCTGTGTGACAGCGGCTTCCGAGACGGGATCATCGACTCGGCTAAGGACGTTGCGGCATGGAAGAAGTCGTAAAGCACGGCTTCATTCTCCTCCTCTTGCTCTCATCCTCCCTCTCGCTCGTAGCTCATCACGTAGCTCGTCACGGCTCTCGCTCGCTGCCTCTCCGTCATGTCCAGTCCGACTGACCCTCGAGGAACCTTCCCCTGCCATGCTGTGAGCGGCGCCATGCCAGCGGAGCAGAGAGAGACTTTGGTCATGGCAGACCAGACGCGCAGGGACCCGAGAGAGCGAGCGAGCGCGATGGGATCGTCAACCTGCGAGGAAGGAAGGGAAGTGAGAAAGAGAACCAGGAGGAGGGAGGGGCGGGGGGGGAGGAAGGGAGAGGACGCACCGGATCAGGATCGCTGTAGAGGATCACAGATTTTGTTCCCCTCACAGAACCTGCGGGAATTCACTTGGCGACCTCACCCTCTGCTCCCAACCGTCCTCAAGCCTCCGCAACTCCCGGATGACCTCGAACTCTCTCACTGCCCAACCTGTTAGAGCTCCTCCCGCCCCTCCCGCCCCTCCCTCGCTCTATCACCCTTCACTGTCTGCTTCCTCACGTCGAGGCTTCTATAAGTCTCGCTGCAGATGAAAGCATCCCCTTCGCCTGCTGTTCCCTCAGCTCCTCCTCCTCCTCTTCCTCCTCATCCCTCATCCTTGACACACCAGCAGCTTCTTGAGCGAGGAGGAAGATTTCTCGTCGCTCGCACCGTCCGACCACAGCACCCACCGCCATGCACATCCTCCCCTGCCATCGCTGAGGTCGCTGGGGCTCAGGCCTGGCAGCACCTTCTCCTCGCTGCTCAGCTGCAGCACAACACGCGTGGGGTCCTTGAGCGGGTCGTAGAGGGAAGCTACCACGGGAAGGTTGTGGCGGACTTGCAGCTGGGGGCTAGGTGAGAAGGAGAGGAGGAGGAGACGGGGAGAGGGAGGGAGGAGGGGGGAGGGGAGGGGAGGAGGGAGGAGGGGA